ATTCATTCATTCATTCATTCGTTTTAATTATTTTAGTACTTCACATTAAACTAAACACATTTGAGAAATATTGCCTTGACACCTAGCTGAAATAAAATAATTTTTAAAGTAATGTATTTTTTAACCTTATAATAACCTATTACAATAATAACCCTACACTATATGGACAAAATAAAAAAAAAACACTGAAGCATTTTTCAGAATATCTTCTTTTATGTTCCACAGAAGAAGGGAAGTCGTACAGGTTTGTAACAACATGAGGGTGATTTAATAATGAGGGAATATAAAATGTAGATTTTGTTTGTTGTTTGTAGATTGTATCGTGTCACTCCATAGACTTAGGTTGTTGTGCTGTGTTATATGTCTTAGAGGCATCGACTCATCCCAGTCGATACATCTCGAGGTGTATGGATTTCTAAGTGATGCCATGTTGTTCGGTCGGCCTGCCTGAGCAGTTAGCGGTCTGATTGCTGTTGTGAGGTGGAGCGGGTTTGATCTGCTGATGGCTCTGGCACCTGCAGTGATGCTACAGTGCCACTGAGGCCAATTAAAACATGAAAGGTGCTTCCCACCATCCGACTGGCAGCGCCAGAGGAGAGGGCTGGTGAAGGAAGCGAAGGAGGCGATGGTGGAGGTGCACAGGCAAAGAAACTGGCGCTGTTTGCTCATGCGATGACAAGGTGAGAGGCGAAAGAGAAGCGAGAGAGAGCTGATGAAACAATTTAGTGCTTCCTCTTGCCTCTTTCCTGCTGCAGGGAGAGGAAACACAGTGTGAAAACAAGCCAAAACCTCCTTCAGAAAGAGCGATGTCACGCTGTCGAACATTATTAACATTTACATGTTCTGCAAGTTGTCATCTACAGGGCTTTCAGAAGACATTTGGCCTTCTGAAGTTTTGTATTTTAGTCTATTCCAGGCTTTAATATATTGTGTAAATACAGCGAGTCCAAGATAAAGAAACGGAACAATCTAATGAATGAATGAACAAACAAATAAATATGAACATATTTCATATTAAAAATAAGTACATAGAAATATATATTTAAATGTATTTTTGTATTTTTTAAACATTTAGTTATTTTTAAAGAAACACAAATATATAAGTATAAAATATATAGTTTTATTATATTGAATATTTATGTAGGGTTTTTTTCAGTTTAGTTTGTTTTTTTAGTATGTCAAGTTAAACAAAAATGAGATATTGTTTGATCTGAAATAAAATATATATTTTTTTATTATTTCAGTGTAATATTTATAGTTTTTTATATCATTCTATTATAATAGAATATTTATGTAGTTTTTATAATTTTTATGTTTTTATGTTAATTATTATTATTATTGTTATTATTATTATTATTATTATTATTATTATTTTCACATTCCCACTGCACAATATATTGTGCTAGTTATTGAGAGAGAATAATTTGTTTTTGTACTTTTGTGACAGCTTTGTTTATACGTTTTATTAATAATTGCATATATGCTTAAATGTGATGTGTGGGATATTAAAATGCTTTGTTTTCTGATATAATATATAGAGGGGATAATGACGAATACTGCAAATGAGTCAAAGATTAAAAAAAAAATAAAAAAATAAAAATGAATCTATCTATCTATCCATCCATCCATCCATCCATCCATCGAAATAAAAACCATGCTTATAGAATTGGTTTATTCAAGTCATTATATGTATTAATTGCATTTTTGTGTTTTCATGTCATGAGACAAACAATGGGTATTAACATTATACGGTAACACTTTGGCTAAATGTATTCACAATGTCTTCTATCTGTTCCCTTGCAGCCCTTGCTGGGAGTGAATGAGATGCCGTGTCGAGGCTAGAGGCAGCGGTGGACTGTTCCCGAGTCAGTGGAAAGCCCCTCTAGATGAGCCAGTCACAGCCACCCAGCTGCACGGTAAAGGAATAAGGATTTAATATGTCAACAGAGGCCGAGCTCCAGCCTGCTGCCAGACCCAGCGTCAGAAAGGATTCCAAGAAGAGAGGTACGAGCCCTCATACAGACACATGTGTAAACAGACAAACACACACTCACGCCCGGGGCCTTGTTCAGTCTGCGGGGGTCAGCTTTAAAATCACAGGCATACTGTGCAGATACCACACACACACTCACACATAAACCCACAGTGCCATAGGGCTGGAAGATAGAACTGAAGTCTTGTTATTTGTAACGTTTGGACAGAACTGAATGAATAACTGTTTATGTTAATGTTTCTCAGATGTAAATCTTGTAAAGTGTGGCAGTTTTTTTTTTTTCTCCCAGGATTTTTTGGTGAACAGAGTTTTATTTATCTATCTCATTCATTCATTTATTTAGTTAGTTATTTACTTGCTTGCTTACTTACTGGATGAGTTGGAGTCAGTGTTATTTTGATATCTTTGAGAAACTATTATAGTTTTTATTAATGTTTTGAATTTTTATTGTATTTTTCATTTTCATTTTAGTTAAAGTTTTAGTAATTTTGTTGTGTATTTTTTTGGCATTATTATTATTACTATTATTTTTAATATGTCTATGTTGTATTTTTTTATTTTAATTTCAGTTTTATATTCATTTTAATTATAGTTAAGGTTTTAGTAATTTAGTAAGTTTTAGTTGTATATTTTTGGAATTTTTATTAGCTTTTTATATGTCTATATAGTTTTTATTAATATTTTGAATGATTTTTTATTATTGTATTTTTATTTTTATTTTTATTTTAGTTAAAGTTTTAGTAATTTTGTTGTGTATTATGGCATTTTTTAATAAGTCTATTTAGTTTTTATTAATTTTTATTTCAGTTTTATATTCATTTTCATTGTAGTTAAAGTTTATTAATTCGGTTGTATTTTTTTTTTATATGTCTATATAGTTTTTATTCATTTTTATTTTTATTTCAGTTTTAGTTTCAGTTATTTTAGTACAAGGTAAACTAAATAAAATTGAGAATTGTTGCAACTAGCTGAAATAAAATATTTTTGTATTTATTTATTTTAGTTTACTTTTAGTTTACTTTTAGTTAACTATCTTTTAGTTAACTTTAGTTAACTACTTTTAGTTAATCTATTGTACAACACTATAATTCTTTAGCTAGGGACGACTGTTCTTCCATAAAAGTTAAAGTGAGAGGGACAGTTCCCTGGTGGATGCAGTATGATATTTATTGATTTTCTATATGTGTACTGTATGTCTTTATATGCCCACTGTTTTGTATTTGTATGCTCAGAATGATAATTTTGCATATTTTCCCTGTCAGCACCCTCATCTTTGCTGTGGTTCACACTCCTAACGGGTACTCAGACAGATGTTTGGTGTGGGACCAGTGCCAAGGGGCCTGTCGGTCATTGTATGGCACTGCATGGAGGGGACAGACTGTTGCCTCTCGTTATAATAAGGTCTTGTTGCACTGCCCTCTTGTGATGCACCACCTGTTCCTTAGTGGCCACACAATGGCGTTTTGTGCCAGGCTATGAGCCCATGAGACCGTAGCGGCACACCAGATGTCCCATAGAGCTGGGAAATGGAGATCATACAGTGAGAGCTCTGTCTGTCTAGAAGTCTCTGACTTCTACATATCGTTGTATGTCTACGAGCAAGTCTACAAACTTTATGGACGTCCTATACAAATATTATAACTTTTTTTTTTAATTATTCATGTTGCTTAGGGGGTGCCATAATAGATGTCATTGCGTTTAAAAAAAAACAACCAAACAGGGCACAACAGTATGTACAATAATTTATTTATTTATTTATAACTTCAATGTGAACAAATTCAATGATTCTCAAAGCATAATAGTGTTTATAAATTATTTTGTTTTTTTATTTAATAATTATGTGAATTTGACAACAAAAAGAAGCATTCACAAACTGTTTATTTATATATTTATTATGTGAATGTGACAATAAATTTAAATTCACAAAACTACCGTATTTATTTGTTTATTTATTTATTTATTTATAACATGATTTTGGACATAAATTCAATGATTCACAAAGCGAGTGTTTATAAATTATTTAGTTTTTTTATTTATTTAATAATTATGTGAATTTGACAATAAATTGAAACATTCACAAAGCATTTAACTATTTATTTGTTTGTTTGAAAATACACTGAAACATAATTCTGAAATGATCTGATTGGAATATTCACAAATAAGACCACTTTAAGACTTCTATAATGAGCAAAACTGTCAGCCAGATGCTCACATAAATATTAAATGAGCAATATAATGTCTGTATTGTGTAATTGTTGTGTAATTTCTTGTATAACTTTTAGTGTGGGATCATTTTGCTTATAATCACAGATACAGAAATAATACACTTAAAGGGGTGGTTCACTGTTTTTTTTCTAGGCTTGATTGTGTTTATGGGGTGCAGTCTAACATGTTAATGCTTCGTTTTTTAAAAAACACATTATTTTTCACATAATTTACCTTTATTCCACACCGCTCTGTCCCTTCTCTGAGAAACGCACTGATCATTTCCTTCTCTTGTGAAGCCCCTCCCTCAGAAATAGGCGATGGGCTCTGATTGGTTAGCTAGCCCAGTGTGTTGTACTTTGCTGCCTTTTCCAGAGGACGGGGTTTATCTGGGTTTGTTATGTCACAAATCCAGGAAGTAACTCGTTGTAGTCCCTACCAGCCGTTTTTGTAGGCATTAAACTGCCAGAATTTTAAAAGACGATATCTCTGTTTGCATTGAACTTTCAGCTTCGTAACTTTGCAGATATTGTTTATGCTCAAATAGCAATATTACACACTAACTAACGTTAAAAAAGTGAAATCGCAATGAACCACCCCTGGAAAGCCAACAGGAGGATCATCTGATTCCTCCCACCCTTTTCATTGCTTCAAACTGTCTTCAGTTTTTCAAGAACTGTCATGTTTTATGGTCAGAGAAGATCTACAAAGCAACAGTGAAGCCTAGATTGTTAACCTTTCTTTTTTAACCTATAGCAAACAAAAACAGATGCAGTTATCCCCCTGAGGAGACACATGCACGTAAATATGCTTCTGTCAATTGAATATTTAAGCACTAAATAGTGCTTATTCTCAACCAGTCAACAGTAACAAACAACATCCACCTCTCTTCATCATCTTCATAACAAGCCTGACCTGCATCTCTGTTCCCTGTGGAATGGATGTAATTGCACCTGCTGTCTTTTCCCCTAGAAACCATTTGAGCGCGACAAACTATCACAAATCCGTCTGTTTATGACCACAAAACACCACTAATCGGTTGTTAATGACAACGACCTTCCACCCCTGTGGAACCAGTTTAATATGACCTACAGCATGCGGTTAATGACAGCTTTCTCCTCATTCAAAGAAATGAGCTGATCCTCCTATGAGCTGCTCTATCCATACTGTACATGCCTTACCCAGAATGCAACAGTGGCCAATAGTGGAGAATGTATATTACTGCTGTCACGAATCCGGTCCGTGGCCTTCCGGCCGATTGCCACTAGAGGTCATTCTACCATTACATTGACTCTCACACTACACAGACTGTTACATGTCACTCCGGACTACAGTTCCCATCATTCATTGCACTTACACAGCTGAATTCACTGATCACACAGCCGTCACATTTCACACGCTCACCTGAGAGCCATTACACACACTATTTAACACTCTCTCAGTTCCTGTCCAGATCGCCATGTATTGTTCTGCATTTTCCACTCCCCAAGTGTTAGCTGCCTTACCGAGCCATTCCGTGTTTTCTGTTTTAGTCTCGTGTATTGTTCTGCGTTTATCACTCATCTAGCGATAGCTGCATTACTGAGCCTAGTGTCTTGCTTTCCTTGTTTTCATCGTCTTGCCTTGTCTGTTTCCCCGTGTTCTGATCACTGCCTGTGTACCTGGATTATCCCTCGAGTCTCGCCCAATTGGATACTGTTCGCCCCTGCCTGGACCTTTGCCTTGTACCTGGATTATCCCTCTTGCCTTGCCATCAATATACCTGTTTGCCATTGTCTGACCTATGCCTGTTTTTGACCACGTCTCTTGTGAATAAAGCCTTGCAGATGGATCCGCACGCTTCCTGTGTTCCTTCCGTTACAACTGCCTTGAATGATTGAAACGGTCATATTTACAAGATAAGCGCACATGAACACCACCACAATGTTGGACCAGTGGGAAGAACATTTCTATTTTTTAAATGGTAAATGTTTTAACATTAATAAGTAATTTAAAGGGATATACCACCTCAAAATGAAAAAATCAACCTCATGTCATTCAAACACTTTTGGTTCCTATTAGGGCTGCACGATATATCGAAATTATCGAAATATCGCAAATGTAAATATCGCAATATGCATATCGCAAGGGTGTGCGATATCTGAATCATTTTAATAATAGGCTACTTAAATCAAAACGTTGCAAAAGGTCAAATTTTTTGTTTGATGCATATAACAGAGAATTGCTTGACGTAAAAAGAGTTAAGTGCAATAAGTTGCAGAAAACAACTCTTTGCCGTCTCGTCTTGCTGTCTGACAGACTCACACCTGAAGCGCGCGCACAAGCCGCATCTCGCACAGCGTCTCTTCAATTCTGCCGCACACGTGCAAAGCGCGCACACACAGAGAGACGCGTTTCAGACCGAGTTGATTCGTCTTTCGCATCTCCTCATGTTTGAACAGACACATACACA